ATTGTTCAATTCCGGGCGTTCCATTAAGAAGGATCCCTATCAGCGACCATAAAGAAGTGTGTTCGGGCAATCCATTGAATTGATTCCGAGTCAGCATTCAATTCTGCATCTAAATTTGGTAGATTGTTATCCCGGAAATACTTCCTTATAGTGGATGATGGGGATCTATCTTGGTTGGATACCCCAGTTTCATTACTTTTCGATCGTTTGTTCAAACTTTCTTTCTTCTAAAGCACGTTCGGGCAATCTGTTGAGCTGATTCTGAACCACCATTGAATTCCACATTCAAATCTCTTTGCTCGATGCTCCGGACATACATCCTCATGATCGATGATGGGGATCCTTCCCAATGGAATACCCTGAAACCACCAATTTTTGATCATTTTTTTGGAGATTTTCGCTCTTCTCAAGTATGTTCGGGCAATCAATCAGGCTGATTTGGAACCAGCGTTAAATCTGCATCGAAATCTATTTGATTGATGGCCTAGACATACTTACGTTTGGTTGATGGATCGGAACATTGATCATGGAGTGCTTTGGCCACGTGAATGTTCGCTCATTTTTGATGAGGGTGTGGGTGTGATCCTAAGTGTCAAGATAAAGACTACTCACATCCGCAAATCCACACCCACATTCAGATCCACACCCACACCCACACCAGAGATGCCAGATGTAAAAGTCGAAAACCCGGAATTTTTTTTTCAAAGTCCGGAAAATTCCGGAATTTCTTTTTCAAAATCCGGAAAAAAATCCGGAAAGGTTTTCGAGGATCAGTTTTAGTCACGTAAATGGCGTCTTTCTCAATTATATTAGCAATAACTTTATATATTTTCACAAAATAAAACATTTTAATTACACAAAAAAAAAACATCGAAATATAGTTAACTTATTGAAAATAACTTAGAAATTATACAATTTGCAGTTAATTAACACGTTGTTTTTTGGCACAATATTTTTCATTAGAATGAATAAGTTTTAGCAGTTCTGGTTTTGATAAAAAAGAAGTTATAAATTTTTGTACATGATAAAGATGAGTTAAAACGAATTTTTAATTCAGCTGCAACAAGTTTCATTGACATACGATTTCATTTATCATCGTATAAATGTTTCATCGCTGAAAAAACACTTTCAACAAATGCATTACTACATGGAATCGAAAATAAAAAACAAACTAATTTATGTAAATTAGGTGAAGATGTAGGTTTAATAGATAAGAGCATTGCCCACAATTGATCAGGTCTAATCTCTTTTATAGCAGTATTTTCTTTTAAATCATCATCATCATCATCATGACTCTCTTGTTCTTCGTCAAATTCTTTATTTGACGAGATCGTTGTTGGTGTAGTTGTTGATATGTTTGAATTGGATTTTTTGCCAATATAAGATTGAATTTGATCATATATAGAAATATTTTTATCTTGTATAGATTTGAAAATCATTTGAACTTCGCAAAATTCATTGAATAAATCATCTTCATCTAAATTTTTTATTTGAAATAATTCAATACATTTTGTAACATGATTCCATGTAATATCATTAATTGTTGATAAACCAAATGGACTGATAGCTTCATATATTTCTGATGGAGTAGTATATTTAGGTTCGATAATCTTTCCATTTTTATCTTTCTTCTTCAACAAATAATATTCATCAATATATTCAATAACTCGTTCAGTGAAGCGTGCAAATGAAAGTTTCAATTTATCAGCTGTACTTGGTTCCAGACGAGATAATTTTAAACGGCAGTTTGTACCAAAAAAAGATGAATCTAATCTTTGTTGTAACTTAAGTTTTAGTTCTGTTATAATTTGATGCAAACTAACACCAGCTAAATAGCGCCTTTGTAACTTTAAATTTGAATTTTGAATAATCGAGAGAATATTTTGAAGAAAACTAAGAACACGATGTCCTTCTTCACATGAAAAGAACTCTGTAAGTTCTCTAGGACAACCATCATCAAGAGACAAAAAATAATCTTTGACAGGAGCAAAAACTTGTAATAATCTTTCGATCGATGTGTGCAACGTTAACCAACGAAGTTTTATGTGTTTGAGAATTACCTAAACATGAACAATAAAACAACTTATTTTGTGATGAGGTTATTATTTCAAAAAGACTTTACTTACCACGTAATCTTCTTCATAAAATTCATAATAAGATTTAAGTTCAGCTATTCTTTTAGCTGATCGAGAAAAATGAGCATAAATACTTAATAAATTTTTTTCAACATCAATAGTTAATAATTTATGTCCATGCTTGACACCATTATGTAAAATGTGATTATAGCACGAACCTAAGTAACAAAAAGAAGAAATGAAAGATCATCTTGACGAATTATGAGACTTGATTAATAAAACCTGTCCCCTGCTGTATTCCGTTCAGTCTGTGACGTTTTATATGAAAGAAACCTTATGTAAAACTACCTTTTATCAAATTTGGTTTTTCATCACGAAACAATGAAAATACACTATGATGATCTCCCATGTTAACATTAGTGTTATCTGCACCAATTGTTGTTAAACCATGTAAATTCAATTCATATTTATCCAATATAAGACGTGCATTTCGATATATATCAATTGCTGATTCACTTGAATCATCGATAAAATCAATAAGAACTAGACAAAAATCTGGTCCGATGTATCAGTAGAGATTAAAATTTCAGATTGTTACCTTTTTTAACTCCTGTATCTGATAAATACTGAATGCAAAATGGATAAGCTTTTAAATTGCCTTTATTACTTGCATCATATGAAAGAGAATAGTAAAAAGCATTTTTGATTTCTTCCAAAACAACATGTGTAAAGTATGGTGCTAAAACATCCGTTGCTATAACTGAAGCTTTTGTCGTCGCACAAGACAAAGATTTAGCAATAGGCGATGAAGCAAACAAAATTTTCAAAACATCAGTTGTACATTGTTGAGCCATATATGAAATTTTATGTTTAACACCGTGATATACTAAAGTAGCTTCTGCAGCAGCTACTTCTTCTTTTTCACGAGTTGGTTTCATGGTTGTAGTAATTAGTTGACGATCAATACTAAATGTTAACATATTTTTCTTATGTTGTTTGCTCTTTGAATGCTGTACAGCATCATTTTTTCCACCATGATAAACACTAAACTGACTATTGCATGCCATACATATTGCTTGACTTTTATCTGGTTTATATTCTTTCAAAAAATTAAATTCAGTTAACCATTCGGATCGGAACACTCCTTTTCTTTTTTCTTGTTTATCTTTTGATTTTTTATCCACTTCAGGTGATGTTACTTGTGCTATCGGTGATAGTTCATTTCTTTCTAAAATCTCTACATCTTCGTTTTCTTTAAGCATTCTGAAATTAGAAGAGAAAGATAATTATGTAATATAAATTATCATTTCTTTACTGTGTGCACTAGAAGAAAAGAGAAACTATATACAACAAAAAAGAAAAAAACAACTGGACTTGTAAGGTGACCAATAGAAGAAAATATTAAACCTCTACCGAATTATTGACAATTTAAAATGCTAAGAATCAGCGAAATATAATTGGAATAAAAAATGGCTGAAATCCGGAAAAAATCCGGAAGCCGGAAAGAATCCGGAAAAACTTGGAAAATCCGGAATTTTTCCGGATTTTCCGGAACATCTGGCATCTCTGATAATAATATATGTATATATATATATATATAAATCCAATCTGATCTTTATTGATGAATATCAATAATCACACACATATATACATATAATGTTGAAAACGATGTTGATCAGTAATAATGATGAGCAACGATAATAATAGAAAATAATAATAATAACTAATAATAACAAGAAAAACGATGATAACAAGAGAAAAACAACAATGACCAGAATAACGAGAGAAAAACAAGATCATATATAGAAAAACAAAAGACAAAAAACAAAAAACGTAATAGAAAAAATAAAATGACGCAATATGGAATAGATCATCATGATCTCATGATGATCAATGAAACATATACATATACGACAGGAAAGAAGAAAAAAAAACATATATGTATATAATACACTGGACATAAGTTAGCGTCATAATGTGACATCTGTTGACGCTAACAATGATCAGATATCTATGTCGATTTTGATTGAGATGAAGACGTTTGTGACGATGATAACGAGAAGAGATATCTTCTCAATGTGGCATAGATGAAGGCTGTACCGGGTGCGATGCCTTGAACTTAGCTACTCGAAAAGGGCCACTGATAGCTTCATTGATTTTTCCTCGAACCAATGATTCATGCGGATGGCAATACTTCACATAATCTAAAGAGAAAAGATGTTAATATTCGTTCAATAATTGAAGAAAGAAGAGTAGCACTTACCATGAATCGATTCTCGCACGCTCTCGCTTAAGTCTTCCAATGTGCGGCTTTTCGATGGATAGAGATGACGCACAATCGCTCGTGCTGTAAGTGACCCGGTGTTTTGTTTCAATGATATCAATGTCTTCACCGGCAATCCTAGATCTTGACTAAATTTCTCCAGAGCAGCACCCGATAATGGTTTGCAAAAAAAGCGTTTCAAAGCTGATTCAATGCATAATAATCCTGTTTTTTTTTTCGTTTTTACTATGGAAAAATGCACAAAAAGGTTCCACAAGGGGGTGGTGGTCGCCGAAACGCCGTTCTGGTAGATCCGCCAGTGCATTATATCACTTTTTTTTTCTGTTTCAATTCTTACTGTTCCGTTTTTGTTATTTTTTTCTTTCTGTTTTCGTTGTGATGTGTGTGGACACACATTGATATTGGTGGGGAGGCCTGTTATCACATGCCTTCACATCGCTTCAGCTATTCGTGTCTGTTTTTTTGCTCTATTCATCTTTTGCTTCTTTTTTTTTTTTCTTCACATTCGAGTCAGAGACCAGCACGCAGAACAGTCGAATAAAGGGGCCTCCAACAATATTCTTTGCTTTATTCTAGATCTTCAAAATGATGAAAATATATCTATATTTAATATCTTTTGCTTTGTATTATTATTCGGGAGAATGCGCATTGTCTCAACCATATTTTCCTTCCCAAATTGTTTTCTCTCCTGATAATAATAAAACAATATTTGCAATTGATGAAATAAATCAACGAGCTTATAAAACAGTTGCTTATGGTGCTACAGTACGAGAAACTTCGTATTTAATGAAAAATTTTCCGTACGCAACTCCTGACTCACCGCAATCAAAATATTATGTTCAATTATTAGTAGATACTCCATCAAATAATTGTCAGTATGCAACATATTGGAAATATGGTGGATCTACATTCAATTCATTTCCATTACATTGGCAAATTAATTCCAGCTCAATTAGAGTAGAGAATTATATTAAATTTAAATATGAAATGTTACATTCAAATGATTCTTCTACAGATGAAGATTATTGGTATTCAAATGTAACATGTCAAGTTTATAGTGGAGAAATTTATCCATGTGAAGAAATTTATTTTAAGAAAAATACTGAAATTCCTCTTCGATTCACTGAAGTTGTTCGTCGGGGATGGTTTCTTGTACAAGAAACAACATCATATCAAGTAATATCAATGGGAAAACCAGATGAGAAGTTATTCGATTCGATACCAAAAACCTGGCCGGATTCTTGCCGAGATTATTCACTTGGAATTTTATATTATCCACAAAGAATGAAAATACTTTTACATGAAAATGCCAAAGTTCAAGTTTGGCTAATAGCACCTCCACATCGAATTAATGGAAGTGATACTGTTACTATTCAATGGAAATCATATGAATCTATGGATTGTTTTACATGGACACCAAATCAACTTTTATTTAATAGTAAAAATTTCCAAGAAAGACAAACATTAACAATAACTCGTGTCAAAGATGGTCCTAAAACAACTCTTATTCCAAGTTTTAATGGTGGAGGTTTTGATCATGTTACAGCATCAATATATCCTATATTTATTGAATAA